GTCTCCCGCTTTGCAAATCAGAACTGTGCTGTTGTCTATTCAGGCATTGCTATCCGTTCCAAATCCGGAAGATCCACTGGCCACCGATGTTGCGGAGCTTTGGAAGAACAATGAAGCTGAAGCGATAAGACTGGGTTTGTTTGTTGATCGTGTTTTTATTATTTATTGGGCCTTTTTATTCTTTACATTCATCCGCCAATGCTCATATTCTTTGCCACGTTGTGTTGAATAAGCAGCGATCCTAATACATAGGATTTAGCATAACATAACAGAGGGGAGCAGGTTGCAGTGCGATTTAGCCGTTTTGGGAACCAAGAATGTCTAGCGGATTAAGAAACTATCTGCTAATGAAATTCTGATAAAAAAATGTTAAAATCTTCGACCTGGTCTTGAGGTTGTATTTGTAATACCCCGGTGTTTATTTGACTCAGCAGCTTCGTTAATTCGCGTGAAGGTAATGAAATCAGGCACTGCTTTATTATTATTTTCTTGTTCTTAGTTAAAATTGTTATCCACTCGTCTTGCGTCGTAATTTAACATTTTTAGCAAAAGAATGGACTCGAATGTACGCTATGGATCGATGATGGTTATTCGTGAAGCGACTGTTCTGCCAGAGCAACGCGTATAATTTATTCCGTTGCCCTGGCTTTCGAGTTTATGTGCTGATGTGTTGTTTGGATTTGCATTTGATCCTTTTATAATTTGAAGTATTTTGTGAAATTCAGTAAAACTTTAGTAACGTGTGCTTTTATTTTGTACTACTCGTTTGGCGTAGTCATATTTTTTGGGCTTGATTTGTGCACATGGAAAGAAGTTTAGCATAATTGTGCGAAGTATCGCCTCTAACTTAATTCTTAGTAAATTATAATATTATTATAATATTAATATTTAATTAGTAGATAATCAATGGGAATGAACTAAAATGGTAGGGCCGTGGTATCCGTTTTGACAGTTCGCTGGACGTACTTTTGAATTGTAATGTAACAGTGTTTAATTGTAATAGCCGAATTTGGCTGTGTATTTTTGCCCTCAAGTTTCATAATGCCATGAATCTTAGATCGGTCAACTTTTGAAACAGTGTAGTCAAAATTGTCCTCTTCCAAGATTAAATACTTTGTTCTTTCGTTAGTGATCATACTGAAAACTGTA